AAAAAAACTAAGAGAAATTTCTGGCATTAATTCAGGAGTATTTGGTATATATTATGATGCATATTAAATTGAGAATATGGCACTTAGGTGAATATAACAAATATATTTTGTTTTGAACATTAGTTCATTCGTTGGAATGTTCAATTAATTTCTGACATGTCTATGTTGAATTATTCAAACGACAGTTACTGATGTTGTTTGAAGTTTGTGAAAGATAGTACCAACTCAATAAAATAATATTACATTGTGATAATTGGTTTATTAATTTTCTTTTTGCTGAAGTGGGTATTAAAAAGAATATATGCGTTGTATAATATGATTGTCTATTCATTTTGAGTGTATAAAATAGAATATCTATATAAACAAATCCAACTGTTTTTATTTCGATATACACTCTCATTTTAGAGATATACTGAAATGAAAATGATAAGGAATAAGGAATAAATACTCAAAAGATATTCTTACAAAGAAACATCTCTGTTTTTATTTTAGTCCAATAAATATGCAGACAATCACTACATTTATTTTATTTAGATACTCATTAAAAAAAACATTCAATAAATGAAGTGATTCAAAAGTTTTGCTTGAATTGGAAGTAAACCTACAACTAATTTTATTCATTCAAGAATAAACATAACAAAACCTAAAAACTCACAGAAAAAAAATATAAAAGAACGAATGACTTACATCATTAATTTACTCTTTTATTGAATATCTAAAATTGTATTATTTAAATAAATAAAAAAATAAACATTAATACACTTATTTTATATTGAATTTGAATAATCCGAGAAGAATGTATTAGTCTATCTGATGTTTATAATTTTCAGTGATAGAGATATTGAATATTTGAAATATCTTTGTTAGTGAGAATTATGTTTATTGATAGATAATATTATTTGATATAGTTCATTTATTTTCATTAAAAAATACTCTAATTTATATATGATGATAATTATTTCGTTAAATCATTGTATTTTACGTTATAATACTTTAGTAAACAAAGAATTTTATGTATTACTTTTGCTTCAAACATATATACTTTTTCAATTTCAATTCTTTAGTAACATCACAATAATAAATGAATGTACACTGTTTAGTATGAATTATTTTGATTCTTATTGATGTGTTGTTGATGATATATAATGAAAGTGATACATACAAAAATAATTGTTTGACTATGAAATGGGTACGAAAATTAGCAAAGAAAAAATGCATCTAAATAATTTGCAAAAAAGAAAAAAGATGCAAAAAAATTTGCATCCATAGAATATTCCACTTTATTATATTTTGCTCCTAAAATAAAAATAAATAAAAAATATGATAAATACAGAATATATAAATATTTATGTTTATATTTTATAATCATTTGTATTCATTTTGTATGAAATATTAATGAAATAGATGATTTGATGAATCATATTTAATTATTTTTATTCTTTTTATTCTTTTATTTATATGTTATTTATCTATCGTATTTTTATATATTTATTTCTCTGTTTATATTATTTATATCATTGTATTCTTCTTATTATCTATATATTATTATATTCTTCTTATTTTATTATTTTTATGTTTATATTCTTTAGATTTTCTTCTTGTTATTCTTTTATATTTAAATGTATTTTATTATTTGAATATTCATCTTTATCATTTTTATA